CAAACATTAACCACTGGCCTGCAACTGGACCACCTGCAATGTGTTAGTCATTAAAAAAGGTCACCGTTACTGAGCATTTTAAACTGTGAATAGCTTCAGATTAAATTAGGTGTAAAAAAAGTCATTTCCTCTCCGTGATAAACTAAAACACCTGCAGCCAAGCTCAAGTTTACCATGAGGCACACACCCCCACCTCTCTCACTACATACCATTTGGGAACCCATGAAAGCATGGTTTTGTCAGCTATCTCTCTCTTGCCTCAATTATTTAGATTTTCCAAGTTGTGTGATTATATGCACAGTTCCTTAGGAGGACTACAGGCTATTTTATGGTTCGGTAGGCATACATCACAACTTTCATTTACATACACCTGACTGAAGATTCTTCGTGAGGCCTCCTGGAGTCGTTTCTCTCTTTCTCTTCCTGCTATACTGAATCTCGTTTTGATCTGATCCAATCCAATATTCCACATCTGTCCACATCTGTGACTATTGCAAAACCTTATGGACACAGCTGATCTTTCCTAGGATCATATGTTGCAGATACTTCAGAGATGATCTTGCCAAACCCCAGAATATTATTGCAGAGGAAACTAAAGCCCAGAAAAGCGATATGGCTTGCCCAATGCATTTAAATAAGTATGCAGCAGAGCTGAGATTTGAACACAAGTCCTCTGACTTCAACTCTTTCCTTCAATACTACCAGGTGATTTTTCTTTCTGACTGGCCAACCAAAGAACCCTGTTGAACACTAGGAACAGCTGGGAATTATCTGATTCTTGTTTTAAAACAAAGACCTCATAACTGTCATGGTATATGTATACACATATGTGTATTCATATATATACACATACGTATGTGTATTACAGATTTTTATAATTTTATATGTGTGTACACATATATGCATATATGTATACATTTATGCATACATATATACATAGAGAGTGGTGGGATATTGGTCTACTCACAGCCCCAACATGTATCATGCATTCCTATTTTTGTTGCTTTGCTAATATTGTTCACCTCCATCTGTAGATGCTCCCCCTTGCCCCACCCCATACTCTCAATGATTTCATTTCTACCAAAAACTGAATTTATTCTAGGAATCCCTTACTGAACCCAGCAATCTCTGCTTGCCTCCGATATCTATAGCATTTATTTATTTATTTGTTTGTTTAATGAGGCAATCAGGGTTAAGTGACTTGCCTGCCCGGGGTCACACAGCTAGTAAGTGTTATATGTCTGAGGCTGGATTTGAACACAAGTCCTCCCAATGCCAGGGCCAGCGCTCCATCCACTGTACCACCTAGGTGCCCTGTTAGCTTTTATTTTCTCTGCCCTCATTTGGCACTTGTCAGGGACTGCCTGCTTTTATATTCTGTCTTTGCCTGTGCCTAGGCTTTGCTCCCTACCCCCACTCCCATCCTGGAGTAGGAACGATTTTTTTCTGCTTAGCACAGCATTTCAGAAGTAGAAGGGAAGGTAAGAGTTCATCTAATCTTTGTATGTCCCCAAATGCCATGAACCACTTTCAGTAGCTAGTAAACCCCTGACGTTGGTTCAATGTTGGTAATTGAAGTTAGGCGAACAGTCAGTTAATCGATTAAACATTTGTTAAGCACCTACTATGTGTCAGGCCATAACACCAAAAACCATATTCAGTAGCTAGTAAGCCTCCAGTATTGGTTCAAAGTTTTGAAAACTGGAATTATGCAAATAGTTAATCAAGCATTTGTTAAGCACATGCTATATGTCCAGCACAGGACAGGGTGGTGGGGATAAAAAGACAAAAGTGAGTAAGTCCCATCTCCATGAAATTTACATTCTGTATATTGAGACAATAAAGACATCAAACAATCAATAAGCAATAAGTATTTGTTCAGCACTTGCTGTACGCCAGGCACCGTACTAAGCACTGAGGATACAGATAAACCAGAATACAAAGATACTCCCTGTCCTCAAGAAGCTTGCACTCTCTGTACATAATTACATAAAAACACATATAAAGCACATATAAGGTAAATGAACTAGAGAACACTGCTAGTTGGAGTAGCAGGACAGGCCTCACACAGCAGATGGTGTTTTAACTGAGTGGGAAGAAAACCAGATACTCCAAGAGATGGATGTAAGGAGGAAGAGCCTTCTAGGCATATCAACTTTAGAAAGTCAAGGATGGATTAATTGGGTTTTTTCCCTCATCCACAAAACTTTTTAGCTGCCGTGTGCCCAAAGAGAAAAATGATCTGTCTCTAGTGAAGCCCACAGATCATATACTGAGATTACAATTATCAACCACAGAAGTGAATTAAAAATGAAGAGAGCATTGTATTATAGACATTTTACTGATGCTCCTGGCTAATTCAGTAGAACTTTTGTCTACACAGACTCAGATATACTCAGACACACACACACAGACACACACATACACACACAGAGATTATATGACTTGATTAAAATCATACGTCTTAATTTGGGAGTCAAGATCATAGACAAAGCTAGAAAGGATCTCAGAGTACGTCTATTCCAAACTTTAATTTTACAGATTAGGAAACCGAGGCTCAGTGAGGAAAAGTGATAAGAAGTTATACACCCAGTGTCAAAAAACTAGTAAATATCAAAGGCATAATTTGAAACTGAGTTTCTCTAACTCTAAGTTGAAAGTAAATCATCCAATGCCAGCACTCCACACTGTTGGGCTTAAATCTGAGCTCTGCCACTGATCATCTATGTGGTCTTCGTCTAATATTCAAGATATACAGGGAGCTGATAGAAATGCTTAAGAACAGGTCATTTCTCAATAGATAAGTGGTTAATGGATAGTCTTCAAAAGAAAAACTGCAAACTATTAACAAACATGAAATTATTCTCAAAATCACTAATAAAAGAAATTTAAATTAAAACTATTCTGAGTTAAATTCTGCAAACTGGTGACGATGACAAAATATAGTATTAGTCAATATTGAAAGCACTATGGGAAATGTGCATGTTAGTATAGTGTTCATGGAAATACAATATGGAATCATAGGATCAAGGAGTTAAAACTAGAAAGGACCTTAAAGGCCAATGAGTGGAGTTCAGCCTTCTAAGAAAATGACTTCAAAGTCCATGCCCTTTAAACCAGAGGTCCTTCTGTTAGACATAATGCCCCAAGGAGGGATGACCAAAAAATGCCTCTATACATAAAAATATTTGTAGAAAACTTTTTTTGTAGTAGCAAAGAAATGGGAAAAAGTAGATGCCTATCGATTGTTGGGCTAAACAGGAAGTGGTACATGAATGTAATGGATTGTTATTTAGTTGTAAGAAACAATGAAGATGATGGCAATAGAGAATAAGAAGAGGGCAGCTAGATGGCACAGTGGAAAGATCTCTGCCCTTAGAGTCAGGAGACTTGAGTTCAAAGTTGGCCTTGACATTTGACACTTACTAGCTGTGTGACCCTGGACAAGTCACTTAACCCCAATTGCCTCACCAAAAAGCAAAAATAAAAAATAAATAGAGTAGGAAGAGACATAAGAACAGATGAGAAATGAACTGAGCAGAACCATGAAAACTACTTGTATGTATCTTTCTATCCATAACATATATGCATGCATTTATTTATAAATATATCTATATCTATATCATATGGACACAAATATAATGTTTATATAATACACATATAACATGTATATGATATACATATATGTATTGTATGTGTATATAATGCTCTATGCTTATATGTATATAATGCCAATAACTATGTAAATAGAAAGAACAACAAAATAATCAAAACTAAGTGCTGATAAATTATAATGAGCAAGCTGGACCCCAAAGAAGAGATCTGAGAAGTCCTCTGACTCCATTTATTTGTGGACATCTGTGTTTGTACATGTCTAGATGGGGAAGGATACTATTGGTCTATAATCTTAAATGTAATATTAGGCTTTTCCTATATGTTGATTAGTTTTGCTAAACTGTTTTCCGCCTTTTTTATTCTTTGCTACAAGGAATGGTTCTGTGGGTGAGGAAAGAGAATGATACATTGGCAAATATAAATGATGTAAAAATAAAAAATAGAAATAAAAATTTATTTAAACAAATAATAATCTCTATGGTTCCTTCCAGTTCAGGGTCCCAACAATCTTCCTAAAGAGTAAATGGAAATTGGTGAAAATGAAATATTGAAACCTTCCTATTATTTTTTAAAATTTTATTAATTTATTTTGATTTATCAAAAAACCTTCCTGTTATTTAGCACATGAGAGGAATGGGACATATTTTAGGAGTATCATGGATTTGGTGCTGGAGGGACCTTAGAGATCATCTATTCCAACACCTTATAGATTTGGAGATTATGTAGCAGTTAAGTGACTTGTAATTTAGGTCACAAAGACAATAACTGACAGAGCCAGGAATTAAACCTTCTCTTGGAAGACCTACTGTGACTACATGAATCAATGTATGAATTATTAATCTTAAGCATTGTATTTTCTATTTTCCAAGCTCACAAACATCTGAAGGAATAACACCTTAGATCATATAACTTCCAAAAGTCTCAGAGGGATGAAGCATGGTGAATTGGAAAAAAAAAATAGAGAAGAAATTGGAAAGGAAACTGGATTTGAAGGAGGAGGAATTGGGCTCTGCCACTTATGACTTGTGTGACTCTGGACAAATAACTTCACTTCTATGTGCCCTCAGTTTCCTCATCTAAAAATGAGGGGCTTGGAATATCGTTTTTAAGGTTCCTTACAGCTTTAAATCTATGATCTTCTAAGGTCTATTCCAATTCTACATCTGCAACCCTATGTCTGTGTAAAAGACCAACGTCTTATTCCATTCTTTCGTCTCACTACTTACACAACATCATTCCCGCTGGTTGCTCGTAAGAATTACATGGTCTTAGGAAGAGAAAATAGCAATAATTTTTGTTCCTCTTTTTCAAACTCGAGACTGTCCATTATGAAAAACAGCTTTCATCAACTCTAAAAAAAAAATGTGTAAAAATGTCCTTTACAGGCAACATGACAAGCTCACAAGGAGATGTTTCACTTTGATGGAAAATTTCAAGACAAAAAAAAGAAAAAAATTATGACAGTAAGTAGACTTAATAACTTCAGTCTCAAAATTAGCTTGTAGAGGCAGTACTTCTTACCAATGTACACTTCCAGATTTAGGGGCTATATATTGTATAAGCTGTGAGGTAGCCAAATGCCTAAACATTTCAATTTCCCAGCTATTATCAATCATTTCATTTTAAAACTTTTCCCAGGTTAGTCTCTCAAGTCGCTTTTTTTTTTTCAATTGGCTATAAAATTGGTAGTGGGTCTGTGAACAGAAGGGACCATGTTAATGTGAGAACTACCTCCCCCTTTCCTGGTGTCAGCTTAAATTAGAGCATGTGCCTGTGGGCACTTTTCTTCTGTTCCAACAGGCCTACTTTGGGAGAGCCGCTCTTTGGATTGTGGCTGGAGCTGTCATCACGACTCACTACACATTTCTCAACTCCAAGGCTTCATAACTGGGTCCATCTCTGCTGCTCTGTGGTGAGCAAAAGACTGGAAAAAAAAAAAGGTAACTGAAGAAATAGGGCCTTAGCTATATGAAGTACATTGGCGGTGAGGGGAAGAACCCAGCGAAAGGATGGCAAAATTTTGCCCGTAATAATGAAGCCAGATATTTCAAGATTCAAGTCAAAGATTTAATAAATGGAGAAACGAATGAATGACTACAGAATTTCATAATTTCAGGCAGAATTCAAATCCAAGGAATGTTACATCACCTCAAAAGCCTCTCCCTCTCTTGATATTTTAAACCTAATTAGCAAGACCACAAATAACCAGAGCCCTCAATCTCTTAGGAATGGTATTGGAATGTTGATGAAAAGGACTCCTACCCTAAAGGATTTTCCCACTGCACTTTGAGCTCCTTTACATCAGTTTTCCTTTCTTTCTTCCTATTCCCAATAGTTAGTAGAGTGTCTAGCACTTGCCTGTTGACTGACTGACTTATAACTTGAATTCCCACACTAAAGACTCTCTGTGGTTAAGGCAATATGAGCCCCATTAAAATGCAAATTTCACCTGAGAGGCTAACCACCTGAACCCCAACTAGGTTCTCAGACTTGCTGTAATTAATTCCAATGGTCCTAAAGGAATGAGGGCACAAAACAAGGAAAATATTATGGGGAAATACTTGAAATAATCTGGGGTAAGGACACCTTTTTAAGAAAAGAGTAATCCCAGGTAGGATCACTGAGGATCAGAAAAACCTCATGAAACCAGTAGGCCTAAAAAAGAGGTATGGAGCACAGAAAGAGAAGAGAGAGGCTGAGGAACACAAAGACAAACTTTTCCCTTTCAAAACATGGCCCATAGCTGGAAATATCTATAAAATGAGGAGGCTAGACCAGATGATCACTCAGATCAGGTCGATGGATTTTCATTGTTTACTTAGAGAGGGGAGCTCTGGTTGAGGGCACTTTTCTGATACCTTAGTCGTTAAGAATCCTATGCCCTTCAGAGGAGCTCCAAAGGTCCTCTAGGCCACTCCTCTGTGATCAGGTATGTGAAGGTCCAAATCATACAGTTAATATTTCTCAAATGGAACCCTTGTGTAGCTGGAGATTATCCGCACTAGCAACACAGCACACAGCCATGGTGTAGCAGTGAGAGCACCAGAATGAGCCAGAAGACCTGGCTTGTTATCCCAGCTCTACATGTGTAACTACCTTCCAGCTTTAATTTTAAGTTATAGTTGGACTGTGGACTTTCCCAGTGGAAAGATTTCTCATAATGACAAATTCAGAAGACTTTCATGAATTGATATTGTGCGTGTGTTTTGTGAGTGTGTGTGTGTGTGTGTGTGTGTAAGAGAGAGACAGAGACAGAGAGAAAGAGAGAGAGGAGGAGGAAGGAAAGGAGAAAAGAAGAAGAGTGGCATAGTGAATATAAAATCAATTTAAGAGTCATGCAAACCTGGATTCAAGTATTACCTCTTGTACCTATTGACTCTGTGATCCTGAGCAAGTCACTTAATGGATCAGTGTTGCTCCTGATGCTGCTGCTATTAATACCTCTAGCAAGTCTTTAAGTTGCAAAGCAATTGACTGTTTTCATTTCTGTAGGGAATTTGGAATTTGCTCACAGAAATGGTAGCCTGAGTGTATATGCTTAGACATATGTATGCATATATATATATATATATGTGTAGAAACATGTATATAACAACATATTCCTATATTGCTTCACAAAACATTAATTAGCTAGGTGGTATGAGGTTTTTATCCCCTTTTATGGAGAAGAAAATTAAAGGTCCAGAAACCTTAAGTGATTTCCCCAGGATCACAGAACTAAGAAGTTTCAGAGCAATGATCTGAATCCAGGTATTCTAATTCTAAGTTGCGTTCTTCCACAACAACATGTTGCATAAATGGTTTTGGCCAAAAAGATGAAGTGGGAACACAAACAAGTAAAAAAAAACCCCAGCAATCCCAAAACAGTTTTTGAAGTTCAGCCCTAACATTCCTTTGCCTAGATGACATGAGCTAGCAAGATAAGTCCCATTTCTGGGGTAAAATTGTAGAAGACAGAGCATGAAGAGGGCTAGGCGGCGAGTCCTGGGCCTTTTATTCTCAATCCTACTTGACACCTGCCATGGGGCAGAAATGGCTTTGCTACTCTTGCCTCCTCCATTTCTAGATTTCTCATGCATGCTTCTATCCCTTTCAATGCCTTTTTTTGCCCCTCTGCTGTGGAAAATTTGGAGCCCCTTAATTGCATTAAAATAAACATTTCAATTTATTATTTTTTCATCTGTCAAAGTCCAGGGATCCTAGGACTCCTCCCCTCCAGCTCTTTCAAATAAAACTTGCAGAACAGAATCAGCCCCTCTGAGCATTCTATCAGGATTTGTATTTTCTATCCCCCCTTTATGTGTGTCCTGACCTTGACTAGGTGCCTCCGGAGTCTTTTAAACTTATTGAATAAGATGTACTGTGCACCACTCACCTCTCATACAGGCTGCCTACTATTTCAGCCCAAGGCTTGTGTTTTTCTTTACTCAGGGCTTTTTTTTTAACTCTTGTTTTATTCTAGCTTTAGAATATTGTGCTGGCCTATGTGTGCACATTTGTTTTTACTAGTTAATAGCTTTTTAATGTTTTGATTTTAACCTGACCAGTGGTTAAAAAGCAACTTTGTATCTTCATCTTTCCCCTTTTTTTGCACTGAAATATACTTTAAAAACAAATATATTTCTTTTGAGATAATTCTTTGCATATATTTTTGTGTCCCTAGACACCCACTCCCTCAATACTATATGCTCCATGACTTTAAGGAGATATTTATGTCAAAAAACAAAAACTCTCTTAAAAGAACAAAGAATCATCAATTTATAAAATAAAAGAAAAATCCAAGGATTCCAGTGACCTCAGAGGCCTTCTAATATATAGCAAAACTGAAGAAGAATCTCTTTTATAAGGTAATCCTAATAACATATATAATGCATGTATTATATTTATATTACATTGTATTGTATTTTATTGTATTATATATACTTGTAATCCTTGATAATCCTTGCTTGAAGATATTTGTGAAGGGAGAACCCATATCCCAATCTACTTTTTGGATAGCCCAAACGGCTAGGAATTGTTTTTTTGCATCTATCGAATATAAATCGGAATCTCTGAACTTTATATCCATTCTTATTTCTACCTTCTAGGCCCAAGCAGAATAAAAACCTTTCTTCTACAGGACAGCCCTTCTAAGTCAGAGCTGCCTTCCCTACTCCACCCCCCACATTAAATGATGTAGCTGATAACTATTACAGCCTCCTCCACCCTGAGTTGTCCTTTCTCTAGCAAATAAAAATCAATCAATCAATAAACATTTATTAAGTATGTACGATATGCCAGGTACTGTGCTAAATTCCAGGGATACAAAAAAGAAGCAAAAGAAAGCCCCTGCCCTCAAGTAGCTTATAGTCTAATTGATTCCTAGTTCTTTCAATTGATTAGGATATGGCATGATCTTGAGGTCCTTCACTATCTTTGTTGCCTTCTTGTAGTCATTCTATGACTTATCAATGTCCTTCCTGAAATGTAAATGTGCCAACCTGAACTGAATACTCCAAATGTAGTATGTGTTCTGATTAGAACTGAAGGTACCCAGTCAGTTAACTCCCTATTCCTAAATACTGCCTCCCTTAAGAATCATAGTGGTGATACATACATTTTCTTACTTGAACTTTACAACAGCTTTGTGAGGAAGGAACTATTATTATTATTACCATTTTATAGATGAAGAAATATAAACTAAGAGTCATTAAATGACTTGCCAGTGGTCACACAGGTAGTGTCTAAGGTGGGATTAGAATCCAAGTCTTCTTCACTCCATGTTTAATACACTGTCACATTGCCTCCCTTGATGCAGCTCAAGATCACAGCACATCCTGTGACAGAGCGGCAGACTTTCAGTCCAGTACTCCTGAAGAGAGAGTGTTTGCTATTAATGAAAGAGAAGGGGAGGGGAGGGGACGAGCATGGATGGGAGGAGAGGAGAGGGAGAGGGAGGGGGAGAGAGAGAGAGAGAGAGAGAGAGAGAGAGAGGGGAGGGAGGAAGGATGGATGAATGAGTCCAAACCAACCAACCAGTCAAAGCACCTCAGGAATCATAGCTCTTGACTCTTTTTCTCCTTCTTCCTCCTCCTCCTCCTCCTCCCTCCTTCTCCTCCTCCTCCTCCTCCTCCTCCTCCTTCCTGTCTTTTTCCTTAATAGCAAACACTTATTCATCTTCAAGGGCTTATTATATGTTGGGCCCTATGCTTAGTATTGTGGAACATTAAAAGTTAAATTAGTGAGGTAGCTAAGTGCCTTTAGTGGAGAGAGTGCTAGACATAGAATCAGAACAACTCGAGTTCTAATCCTGCCTTAGATAATTAGCTGTGCGGCCCTGAGTAAATGACTTAACCTCTCTCAGCTTCAGTTTTCTAATCTGTAAAATGAAAATAGGAATAGTATCTACCTCACAGGTTTTTTGTGAGGTTCAAATGAGTTCATGAAGCTTAAAGTTGAACTTAAAATTTTAGGGTACCCTGAATACATAAAGCATTTTGCAATGTTATATAAATGCTTTTGATTATTATAAGCACTCCCCCCATCCATTGTAGTATATAGTCCAATATGCTCATTGTGGTGGACACCAAATCTGAATTGTTACTATAGATAAAAAAATATGTCTACAACCCAACATTGAACAGTCTCAGTGGATCGTAATATCACAACAGAATGTCTGATTCCTCGTGCTTCATACTTCCCCCAAGAGAGAGAAGGAAAATAATGAGGCAAAACATATCCAAATGCCCCTTTTTTATTGATAAGCACAAGCATTTCCACATTTATAGTATCTGTCCATGATACATTAGATGTCCAGACCTGATTGGTTTTTCATTAGAGTAATGAAAGAAATAGTCACTAAACAATAACGCAATACTTCAAATAATTTCAAATTCAATACACAAAAGCCTCCCAATACAAGCTTTTTTAATTAATTACTTTTTTTTAGTTTCCAACATTCACTTCCATAAGTTTTGAGTTTTAAATTTTCTCCAACTCCCTCCCCTCCCACTTCCCCAAGACAGCATGCACTCTGATTTAGGCTCTACATTTACATTTCTATTAAACATATTTTCACATTAGCCATGTTG